TCTAATTCAATGGAAACAAAAATTTGAAAAAAATGGATCTCATAATTGTATTTAACTGAAGTACACAAATGGAAATCCCAGTATTACCTTTCTTAGTTTTCCAGCTGTAAATGCTGGGGATAAAATTGCTCGGGAACTTTTTCATACTTTTCCCTGTTGTGATGCTAAATGTTCTTCTGCATCACCACTGAAACAAAAAGGTGCAACAAATGATGAAAATCTGAACTGAAACAATTATTGATAAAACATTTGTACGTAAAGAATTTTTAAGTAACGAACAATGATAGATCTCCAAAAACAAGTTAACATAATGATTAATAAGCGATAAAATTAAATTTTACACGTTCCATCCTACCAATCACTTAGGTGACAATGCAATTAGAAAATTTATACATAAGATTAAGTTTTAAAAAACGTGGTCATTTCAGAGGGCTGGATGGTTGTGGCATTCTTAGACTATATTGATCTCCTTTAGAAGAAGAGCTCCATACAAAGATATACAAATGGGATGAAATTTTAAAACTAAAATGTATGAAATATTTCTTTGCAAAATGATAGTTGACAGCTAAAGATATCATGTTTAGAAATTAAGTTATTTGTGATGGATTATTTTTTGACCCCTAGCCTCCTTAACGCTAGGAATATTGAGATTGCATACAATCTAATTTCTCTTGACGCGTGAGTAGCTTTGTAACCGAATTTCCAATAAAATCTTAAATATGTGAACGCTTTAAATGCCATTTCAATAAAATTTTAACATCAGGGGCATACATGAAACTATAGGACTATTCAATGATATATGTATAATTTGAATGGCATGTTATGATATTCATTAATTTACTCAGGTGATTTTTATGGTTCATTAATCATTCATTTAAAATTGCGTCTTACCACTCGATCTGTAAAGTTATTGAACAGCTGCACAAGAACTTCCTTTAACATATCCGTATCTGCCGCAACTACCATTGGTGATCGTCCGACAAATTGCCTGTCATTATAATATCATAATTTGTATATATTATGTGGGTTTTTCTTTTCATTAATTAAATAATATTGCACTTGATTGTTTATTAGTATGATTTACGTTAAATCGAAAACTAATGATCCTGCATGAAGAATACATGGAAATTTCACCCGAACACATCTCCATATTCCCTCCACGACAAATTATCAGCTTCTGCAATGCCCTGGAATATATAGAAGAATACTCATACATCTCCTTATTAAAAAAGAATGTGTGCAAAGATTATCTAGTTACTGTTTATAGGTTTTTCCCATTCCTGTCTGCATATAATAATTTCCGATTAAACGTTTCACTCATATCTTCCTATTACCAGTTTGGCAATTGTGCCCCGATTTCCATGCAAAAAACTTGGGGTTGGTCCATTGACTCCCATTTTCTTGAAAATTCCTAAATTCCACGTTGTGTATCTAAAATGTTCAGATACTATACTATGAAATCAAGATGAATACCGAGTGTTTTATATAATATGAATTCTTCTTATACTAAAAGAGTGCTTTGGTCATGAATTGAAAAGCATGAGTGGTGGAGAAGCAACGTTAAAATTAATTTTTATTAATTATCAAATGTGTTTTCTTCATTTACATGTACCATAGAATAATTATAAATTAAAATCTTCCAGTTGCTCCACATCAAACAAACCATGTCCTACGTTATAATTGCTTTTTCTTCCTATCATTTACAGAATAATATATTAAAGTCATTTATAGAGTTTATACATTAGAAATTACGATTATGTTACAGATGATTTTCTAACAAAGAATAACAGTTCATATTACTTTATTTCTATTTAAAATGACAATGTTTAAATTATGAATATTTTTCTTTAAGAAATACCAAAAAACGTAAAACGGCTAATCGATATTTGAGTTGTTTGTATTTATAATGCTTTTTATCTGGATGATTCTCTAGAATAGCATACACATTCATTAAAATTTTTGAAAATAATCAATACATTGTGCCATTCCATATATATATATATATAACTAAAACACAATAAATAACTGTTCCTTGATCATGTTTATACAGCTTTCACTCACTGCAAAAGTATATCAAATATGGATAAAGTAAAAGATAATACTGAAATTGTCCAATAAGTTGAAACAAAATAGTTGATAATTGCTCACACGAAGGAAAAAATCATCCAGAATGTAAAAAAGACAATCTAGCTCAGATTGATTATGAGTATCCGTATGCCTGAAATGTACAATTATGCAGAATAATACATTTCTGACAACTATTTAGATTATTGTGTCGATGTACTTTAAATACTTACAAGAGGAATAACAGAAGGACACAAATGATAAAAATCAACACAACGGTTATTATTACTCCTAAGGTAAACATAATGAATTTTAGAAAATAACTGCAAGAGATTTAATTGACGTGATTATAGAACTATCCAGTTGGCACTAAAAACACAGATGCAATATCATGGCATGCTTTTTGACCTGGTTACAGTTCCCCCGGTCAGACAGAGGTAAGAGATAAGATACCTGTTCACTGATTACATTTAATGCTAAGATGAATGTTAAATTCTCATCAGCCCCGATTTTTTCAAATGACTTTAGGTGTCCTTTGTACTTTTGCAACATTTCCAAATGAAATATACTCAACGTAGATATGTCAAACTCTCAAATGTATTATATCTGTTATTTCGAATTTCCATGGATATAATGAATCAACGTTGAAATGAAAAATGATTACTGTATACAGGGAAATTTTCTCCCCCGTTTTATTTTCGCCCTCTTCATCCTCTTCTTGATTGGGCGAATTTAAAACGGAGCGAATGCAAATTACACGACACAATTTTTTAAACAGAACTATGACTGGGCGAATTTAAAACGGGGCAAACTTGTTCACAAATGCAAAAGGGCGAAAATAACACGGGGCGAAAATAACCCTGTATACAGAAACCCACAGCAACAGACTTCATTTCATTTGCAAGAAGAATTATTTGAATAATTTCTGCTTTATTTGATCGAAACAAAAGTAGATATGCTTAAATTTATATGGGGATGCAGTTGGTACAAAATAATGTAAATTCAGAAGACTCGATCTCTTAAATCTACATAGATATTTTCAATTTAAAACTCCTCCATGATTTTTCTTTGTTTGTGTGTTGTCTAACATCTCTCTCAAGAAGGATGTATTCACTTTGACAAAAGAATTGACCTATAGGAGAGAACAATTTCCCGGAAAAAGTGACATCTAAAATTTAATCTTGATTTGTCGTTTTCTACCATATATATGTCTAAATTTTTCAAATTTGTATTTTACACCTAAAATTTATTATATAAAACTTTACAATAAACCTCCAAAGTTGGCCGAAACATCATTTTGTCCGTTAAAGCGTTGATTTTTGCATGAATTTTGGCCTAGAATTCCTTCAGGGCAGGCCTGCCCCTAAATAAAATTGTGATATTTTGATAGGTTTGGATGTAAGGAATAATTTAAGATAGGATTTTTTCAGGGGCACCCCTGCCCTAAGGTCGAAATTCACAAAAAACCTACAAAAAATAAGGAAACCTGATTTTGATAATCTGCTTCAAATTTATACCACATTATATTATAGTCAGACTAGCTCAGTTGATATATACGCTGACTTTTACACCGTGCAAACAAACATTTTAAAGTCGGGGGTTCGAATCCACCTAGTACCACACTTTTAAAGTTTTTAATTTTCACCTTTTCAAAGACTATTTTAATATTTTTTATAGACTTGTATATTTTCCTTCAATTATCTATCCTTTATGCATGCCCATTCTTGATATAAGAAAAACACTATAAAGAGATATCAAATCGTAAAAATCCAATGTACAGTTGTCAGTCAGGCGGAACAAACCTTAGTATAAGCACACTTTCTCCGAGGACAAGAATAACTCACCGTGTGTTACTCAATACAGGTATTCTTGGCAGCATTGAGCTGCGATGAATGTCAATTGTATATATTCCTTAGAATTTAATAACATTGATTTTGGGTACATATATCAGTAACTGTACTCCCTCAGATTTGATTTAGGCCTATATAATTTGCACACATTAATGGCATGTTTTATTATATTCATGGATAAAATAGCCTAGACATAAAGAATAGAATTTCATCTCAGAGGCTGTAATCATTACCATTATGTACATTGCAAGTAAAGAAAAATATCAATTATTACATTTGGAGATAACAAACTCAGAAAATCAATGTAAGGGTTCCTCCTACCTCTACTCACTGAAATAAAGATTTAGGAGAAACAAATTGTTAGATGTATTTAGCCTAATGTCATTAATCAGAACGGAAATCGACAAGGTTTTTGTAGAGAAAAAAACCAAGCCCGGTCCTATAGGTCAAATCCCTATTTATAATGAAGTGATCCTTTGTCACTCATACATGTAACTCATACATGTAAGGAGAATCCCAGGCATCATTTAATATCAACATTAGAGTATTTGTATGTACAATAAGAAATATTCTACAAAAAAATAGCAAATGATCATTGACTTGGTAAGAAAATTTATTTTCTTATTAATTTAACTGGTCTCACATTTATACTGTTATTAAATACATATAATGAAATACAATTATTGCTTTTTTTAGGTCATTACAACGAATTAGCCATCTGAGGAGTACAATATTCATCGAGCCAGAAGGGCGAGATGAATATTGTACTTCGAAGATGGCTGAATCATTACATGTATATTGATCGAAAAAAACAGCAATAATTGTTTTATTACATGATTCACTGATAAAATGATACAGTTCATTACTTGTTTGCATTTAATTAAGTCCTAGCCAAATACAAGAGAGAAGCAGAATTGAATAGTCCTTAGATATGTCTGCTTTCATTATAACAAAACTTATTTATGCAATGTGGATATTGACAAATTATCATTCCATTTAAATCATATAAATAGTAAGCAAAAATGCCTTCTTGTTTGTGAGGAACTCAGTGCACATGTACAATAATGAAGGAATCCCAATCGATGTTTACTTTGGTGTGTTTATCAAAACAAGAAACACGATATTCACCCCGATGAATATTGATATCGAAAAAAGCAAGCAGAATTTATCAAAACTATGGGATAAGTCTTGCCAGGTTATTCTAGGTTCCTCCTTCCATACTGTCCTCACCTTGGACTCGTTTTCCGGTTCTGACTGAACTTTCTTAGTATGTATTACATTTTCTTTTTTCCTTGCCATGATCCAATTCAGGAAAATCATTGGTTTTGGAATTGGTGTATTTTCATCGTAATAGTAAAATTTAATGGCGTAAACGGACATAATCAATATGATACAAGCTAGGAGGAATTCTGCAAATGTCTTTAATATTAACAGTGAAAGTCCAGGGATCGATGATTCTGGAAGTTTCGATGCTATGGCTGTCTGATAAAGCAGGAGCGACAACAAACTAGTGGTTGAGTACCCCATTCGCTCTCCAGATTCTACCGGTATCAGAAATACCAAAGTGGGAAGTATGCTGAGAATACACAATGGAATCATCAACAAGATCACATGGTAGAGTGTACGACGTTTTATTTCCACTGAAACGGTTATTTGGTCAAACAATGGGAACGGCAATACGTATGTATGTGTGTTTTCGATATCCCATAAACCACTCATGGTATAATATTGAAGCGAGACAGGTTCCTTTTGGGAAATGATTTTTAATGTGGTAGCCTCTATATCCCAGGGCACTATCTCCAGTTGACATCTTTGCACATCAAATGGGTATGATCGAACATCAGAGAGACATTTAGCCTCAAACATATCTGCAACGTGCATAAGAGCAAAACCTGTTGAGCTAAAATGCACTACCCCACTTTCAACACCAAGTCTTCTAAAGCTTCCAAACGCATTTGATAAAATAAAACTTGGGGTCCACACCTGAAATGACTTGAATGAAGTTGAATTAATTTTGTCATAAGGTGGTAATGAAGTTGACCATGACAATCTAGGATCTCTCCAATAAACTGAAAGTGCTCCTGTAAGAGACAGTTTTCCTTCTGCTTCTTTGAAATCGTTGATGCTTTTGATGTAGAAGTCATATCCAATAACCGTTTTCTCGGTGCCATTTGAAGTAGGGCGAACGTTGAAATTGTAACCTGTTAAAAGTTCCATTTGTAGAGTTGATTCTTCTTCCATATAAGTACACGCTGTCACCCTCATTAAGGCTGAGAGAAACAAACATCCGATCATAACGGCAAATTCCTCCATCTTTTGAATTCAGATGGGAAAAAACAAAATTTCATGGGCAATTGCTTTTAGAATCAATTGATTGCTTTTACGTCAATGTCCATACAATTTAATCAGAATACGCAATGAGTGTTGCTGGAATTTAAAAAAAATGCATAAACTCTGCAACCTTCTTTGGTTGATGTAACTTTTGTTGTTAAATAACACTATTGTTTACGATTCTTTTTAAAGTTTTTTTTAGCAGTTTTCATGATTGATATCAAAACTGAAAACAACATTAATTAATTATTTTTCTTTTGAATTAAACAAGATGTATTTAATTGTTTGTTTTACGTACAGGAATAGATTTATTTAAGGGAAATATCGGAAAAGCATATTTATTGATCTTTTTAGATGTAATTCAACACTAAAAGCTAATAAAAACAAAAATCATTTTGCAACCTACGAGCTCGTTTAATAAATAATGTCCTCGGTGCTCGGAAAGAAGCAAAAGACGCTTTTCAATGATTCAGTCTTAATGATTTAACTTAAATATTCTCTTTTAATTAAAACACATGTCCGTAACATTTTTATCCAATTCTGATTGTTTTAGAACTCATTTTTGATTATGATCCTTCGTACATTGCAATATGGCAGATCCTATAATTTCCTGGACTTGCTTTTTTTCGTTCTGAAAGGTATTTTTCAAGTTTGGAAAATGAACCAAGTTAAAAGGTGACAGATATGGTGAATATTGTTGGTGTGACAAATCATTAACTCTCTGTTTATCCCCAAAACACCTTTACTCTTGAGGGAGTGTGGGTTTAGACGCTGTCATAAAGAAATAGTGCATTTCTGATTCTGGTTCCTTCCACACATAAACCTTTCGATTTTTTTTTTAGAATATTGTGTTCAAACATGTAAAGTTATAATGAACATTTAAAAAGTTAACATATTGAAGCTGAATAATTTTCGTATAATAGAGTCAGTTATGTACAATAAATTAAACATTAACTCGCCACTCTTTCCGTCCGTCTCCGTCTGGTTATCGTTATGAGCTTCCATCATAAGCTGAATGAAGTCAATATATTCCTGGGAATAAAATTATACAATGTAATGCTTTCAGAAAGCGAAGCACAAAGGGAAGAGGCATGGAACTGTCTGAAGTCTTTCTCTGAATCAAAACAATACAATAATTTTTTTTCACTAGCAATTATGTGTTTCTTTACTAAGTTTTTGGATTTCAATTAAATCTACTGACATAATGTAGTTAAGAAAACCAATTACCCTTTTCCGTAAATGTCTTGTTGTCATTTCATTTACAATTGTTGTCTTAAAAATGCAGATGTCTCTTCATTTAAAAACAAAACATTGCAGAATTTTGCTATCGGTCTTGCAAGGAATGGAATTACAGTTAAAAATACAAATATATCAACTAAATTTCCTATTTCAAAAACTTTTTCTAAAATTTGCAAAAATTTGTCCTCGGGATTTTCCCGTGAATTCATTTTCAATCCAGATGCAGTAGAAGCAATAACATCTACTATGTAGCACCCAAAGATTCTCTGAACATTCAATGAAGCAAAAACTTTGTAAAGCAAATATATGCTGAAAAATGTAAATACTGAAGTACAGAAGCATGACTGAAAATAACTTAAAATAAATTCAATCTTGTACATGTTTACTGGCTTCATTGGGTTAATTACGCCAATGCATGTACATTTTGCATATATTCCATATATTTGCCAGCCCTGTTTTAATATACTACGAAAGAGCAATTAATCTAATTTTAAATAGCTCATACAGGTTATGATCGCTATTTAATTAGATGCAAGCTTGAAGCCAGCGTTTGCAAAGACGTTGTTCCAGGTACAGATATGTTGATAACCAAGTTCAACAATCGTAAATGGGAGCTTAGGCAAGTGAAGAATCGCTGGACCGTATATTCAATATAGTACTGGGTGAAAAGTCTGTCAGGAGGTATGACATTTACAATCACCGAAATACCCTGACATCAAGGAACAACAGGCAACTTGTAGGCAAAGATTGTTAAGTTTCAAAACAATGTGGTTTGCCAGATATCTGATGAAAAGTATAATGGTCCTATTTATTCCAAAAAATGTTCTTAGTATTAAACGCTCGTTGTATGTCAAACTCCAAACAATGTTCTATTTTTACTAGGGATGGCAATTTCTAATCGGTTAACCGGTTACTCAATCAGAACAATGGTAATCGGTTTGAAAATGTATAATCGTTAGTCGAAAAAAAATATCTTTGTGTAAATTTAAACACAATATCCTAAAATTACAATTTTAAAAAACACAAAATTTTTTTTTAAAATGTTTGCATTTTTGACTTTCAATTAAAGGTGATTTGTAGATAATTAAAGCTCTCCGGATTGACATCTTAGGGGTATTTGGTCAGTTTTCGAGATGTTAATTGTTGTTAAACACCATGTCGTTACCCAGCCAGTCCTGCGTTTCTTTAATGATTTTAATTAATTGATTGATTAGCAGCGTAAACTAATGTATATCTTTCCCCCTCTATCCGTTATGATTACCTATCAAATTACAAGTATATTATAAAACAAACATTGTAATTTAAACAAGAGTTTAGACCTCATTTTGATTATTGTGACAAAACGGAATGAGCTTGTATTACATCTCCTGATTTTTTTCATATGTATCTGAGACTTGCATGTCTTCTTCTGAGTTCCTTTATTTTTCTTTGTTTCTTTAAATTGAAATAAAATATAAACAGTGTTATGATAAAATATGAGCATATTATTTCTGCATGTAACATCCTCTTGACCCTCTTTATTTTATGAGTGCTAAAAATGATGACATATGCAGAGAATTTTTTATACGATTAATCGGTCGGAACGCCTTGCAGTTAACCGATTGGCAATTCTGTATTCGATTGCCATCCCTAATTTTTTACCTAGAATGCCTCCCTATTCCACTGTTATATGCATGGGGGTTGGACTTTAGAATTTTGCATATTAATCACAGGCTGATGGTGGAGTGTTTTTTTGTGAAGTAAGGTAGCATCCAGTTGTAAATTTATTAGAAATGTTTTATTGTTCATGTTATTTCATCATCTTATTGTTTACCTGAATTATTGATGCAATACACATTGCACTTCGACATTGATATGTAAACAAATGCTGTTTTTGTATTGAACAGACAGTAAGGGACACTTTCTTACGACGAAAATAGTCATGTGACATAAACATTGTCGTTTTACAATTGATAAGATCGAAATAACACTGTCCGTGTCGTCAAATATTTATAATTGATAGTTAAATGTTATTTTATTGCAGTATTGTCATTTAATTATGTTTTATTTGACGAAATGTTTTGGAACTTGAATGTGTAGGTAAGACTTATGTGTTTGCATTATTGTTCGGTATTACTACGCCATGGATTGGGTGTGTCCGTTTTATTACAGATTGTTTGTTGAACTTATTTTATTATGTATATCGAATAGAATTTATAGCTCCTACCTTACATGTAGAAAGGACATTTTTAGCGATGTTACTTTCTTTGTATTACACTATATGTATGTAAAGTAGTTCTGAGTTGCTCCAGAAAGGACAATTATTCATTGGTTTGTTGTGATCACGTGACCATTATAGAAGGTTATATATATGAGCAGCGAACGCCAGTTTCAACACAACGACGATCATAACGATCAGATCATATTACGTCATCAACATCACTGACTGTAAATTACTAGCGACTAAGGTATGAGAAAATAATGTAAACTAATACAAATTAATTAAGTAGCGTATAATTTCTCCACCGCACGGACACCGCAATCCACTGTATTTTATTAGGCCAGAGAGATGTTAAGCTAGGACTTATATAGATGTACTGACTGTTTTGTTATATAATTCATTGAAGTCTAATATTATTAAATGAAATATTTGAAACGAGAAATGGAACTTGGTTATGATTTACAAGGATGTGAGGTAAATTATCAAGGGTGTTTAATACATGCGACGGGCTGAGGATGCCCCCCCCCCTTTTTTTTTATATGTGGACGAATGTCATGAGTAGTCCTGATAAAATTTAGTTAACTGAATTTACACGGGATGGAAACACTGTAAGCTGATTGCCATTTAACAGGTTGCTGAGGAAGCTTACACCACCATTTTACCACCAGCACCCCCCCCCCCACCCCCACCCCCCCCACTATGTTCACTCGGTAAATGTATTAGGGTCTGCCTGACAATGATTTTGGATTACGATGACAAAACAGACCAATTTTAGAGATAAGGGTTGTGAATTGCCCTTAACTCGGGGATAGCTCTGGCAGTCATGAAACACTATTAAAAGTGATTTTGAGTTGTTCGAAGAAAATTTGCTTGCAATTGCCATCTCTTTCAAGACCTTAAATGAGAAGGTCATCACCTAAGGGGCGGTATCATGATATCCTTGCGACTGTGAGACAGATTAAAACGTAAATAAAGGTATTTACCTGGTACATTTTATTTCTAAATTTCATTTTTGTTCAATATCTTTTTTTTTATTATTGTCATGGTCGAACTACATCTAGACTTTAAAAAGGAGGTCTACAGACTACATTTCTCAAAAATTCTAATAGAATAGCACTAGGTAATATGTTTATGGGCACCAAAATCAAATAATTTTATCATTAAAAAAATCAAAACATATAAAATGGTTTTCAATTTTGTATTGATATGTAAAACTGATAGAGATTTTTTTATCATGTTGTCCGTGGTTCATCTTACTTATATTGCTGTTAAAAGTTTTTTTTTTTATGTATCGCACCATGCATTAACTTACATTAGGTCCTTCATTTCCTTACTTTGCAAAGTCCACCTCTTCACTTTCCTTGATTTTCCTTTTCATGTGCTGAACAAGTGCATCGCCAGCTTCGTTGATCAGAGGGTCTATCTAATTCAATAGAATCATATCACCTAAGTTTGAAAAAATGAATAATTGTATTTAATAGAACCACACAAATGGAACCCCTTATTAACTTTCCAGCTGTAAATGCTGGGGATAAAATTGATC